TCCAATTAGATTGAATTTGGTATTGATGACCTGAAAAATAATAACGGTAACTCCATTGAAATGATTCAAAACTGAAGTAACGAGCCAATTTTTTTAAATGTAAGGAGTAGAAAGTACAGATATTTGTGTAAAAATGTAAGGAGTAGAAGTAAAAAGTCGCCATAAAAATAAGTAGTAAAGTAAAAATATCTGAAAAATCTACTTGAGTACAGTAACGAAGCATTTGTACTTCGTTACTTCCCATCTCTGTGTATATGTACCTGCCACTTTTTAAAGGGACCAAAAGTAATGGGACAATCTGCTGCTCAGCTGTTCCATGGCCAGGTGTGTGTTATTCCCTCGTTGTCCCATTTACAAGGAGCAGATAAAAGGTCCAGAGTTTATTTCAAGTCTGCTATTTGCATTTGGAATCTGTTGCTGTCAACTCTCAATATGAGATCTAAAGAGCTGTCGCTATCAGTGAAGCAAGTCATCATTAGGCTGAAAAATCAAAACAAACCCATCAGAGAGATAACTAAAACATTAGGTGTGGCCACATCAAGTGTTTGGAACATTCTTAAGAATAAAGAACGCACCGGTGAGCTCAGCAACACCAAAAGACCCGGAAGACCACGGAAAACCACTGTGGTGGATGACCGAAGTATTCTTTCCCTGTGAAGAAAACATCCTTCACAACAGTTGACCAGATCAAGAACACTCTCCAGGAGGTAGGTGTATGTGTGTCAAAGTCAACAATCAAGAGAAGACTTCACCAGAGTGAATACAGAGGGTTTACCACAAGGAAAAACCATTAGTGAGACTCAAAAACCGGAAGGCCAGATTAGAGTTTGCCAAACAACATCTAAAAAAGCCTTCACAGTTCTGGAACAACATCCTTTGGACGGATGAGACCAAGATCAACTTGTACCAGAGTGATGGAAAAAGAAGAGTGTGGAGAAGGAAAGGAACTGCTCATGATCCAAAGCATACCACCTCATCAGTGAAGCATGGTGGTGGTAGTGTCTTGGCGTGGGCATGTATGGCTGCCAATAGAACTGGTTCTCTTGTATTTATTGATGATGTGACTGCTGACAAAAGCAGCAGGATGAATTCTGAAGTGTTTCGGGCAATATTATCCGCCCATATTCAGCCAAATGCTTCAGAACTCATTCGACGGCGCTTCACAGTGCAGATGGACAATGACCCAAAGCATACTGTGAAAGCAACCAGAGTTTTGTAAGGGAAAGAAGTGGAATGTTATGCAATGGCCAAGTCAATCACCTGACCTGAATCCGATTGAGCATGCATTTCACTTGCTGAAGACAAAACTGAAGGGAAAATGCCCCAAGAACAAGCAGGAACTGAAGACTGTTGCAGTAGAGTCCTGGCAGAGCATCACAAGGGATGAAACCCAGTGTCTGGTGATGTCTATGCCTTCCAGACTGTAATTGACTGCAAAGGATTTGCAACCAAGTGAAAGTTTGATTTATGATTATTAATCTGTCCCATTACTTTTGGTCCCTTAAAAAGTGGCAGGCACATACACACACTGCTGTAATTCCTACACCGTTCATCTGATTTGGATGCAATACCCTCAAATTAAAGCTCAAATCCATTGTGATGGTGTATAGAGCCAAAAAGATTAGAATTGTGTTGATGTCCCAATATTTATGGACCTGAGTGTGTATATATATATATATATATCTGTATATTTATCTATAGATATTAGGGATGAAACAATTTATGAAAGCCGTCCGAACCGTTCGGTTCGACTGTCTCGGTTCGATTCGCGTGCGTTTCGTTCGGTTCATGCGCTGCTCCTTTTTCTCATAGGCGAAGCGATTACACTCCAGAGCAGAAGGTGGCGGTACTGCGACCAAAGCCAACCACCAGTAGTAAACAAGAAGAAGAAGAAGTGAAGCAGCTTAGCCGGGTGTAGCAGAAAAAAATCAGTTGTTGTGGAGAATTGTGTGGGTATGGCGAGTGGGAAAGAACAGGAGTTGGAAGACGCGCCAGCAGCACTTTATAGGTCTGCTGTAATGAAAAAAAACCCCCAAATTTATGAATTATAATTATTTTTAATGATCCAATGAAACCCTGGATCATTTCCACGTTTTGCTGCTTTGAATTTAATCATCTTGTGCATGCTCTCTACTAGGGTTGTCACGATACTAAACTTTTCAACTCGATACCGATACTAAGTAAAATATTCGATACTCGATACCATTTTCGATACCACAAGGATAAAAACAAAGACTCTAAAATTCAACAGAAATATTTTCATTACTAAAAAAAATACAAGAAATAAATAAAAAACAATAAGAACAATATTTTAAGGTTGTATGCTGTGCACAATATTAAAGCTACAGTGTGTAATTTTCAGCGACATCTAACGTCCAGACTGCAGACAGCAGCAACATAAACATCTCCCCCCCAGCGTTACGGGACAAAATGTCTTCCACGACGTCCGCATCACCTACCTTCTTAAGTGATGAGGTTTGTTTACATAGATAATTTTACAGATAGAATTTCATTAGTCTGTGTAGGGTATAGATTTCAGTACCGTCTCAGTTCATCTCTCTCAACTTGCCGTAGTTACTTTCGAGCGTAATGGGCGATCTCGCAATCGCTAGTTTGTTGGCTCTGCGCTGCCGTAGCGCAAAGATGTCTGCCTCCATGGCTGCGAGACCCGCTCCTATGTAATTATAAATAACGAATTCTAAGGCAACGCAAATATTAAGGTTAAGAGGCTGAGCTCGTAGATGATGATAAATAACATAGCTATGTATAATATATTACATTTCTGACTGTATATCCCCGTAATTATTACACACTGTAGCTTTAAGCGAGCTTGATAAAAAAAACTGACAAAATTAAAATTAAGTGTTCCTTCCTTGGCTATGTTTTGCAGACATAACAATGACGCTAGCCAAACCAGGTAAACAAAAATAATTCTCAGCAGCTGCACCTGCTACAAAAAAAGTCTGAAACTGAAAAATGCACAGAATTATTCAATCACACAGTGTTCAGAAAGTGCATTTTCCACTATTCTGCACTTTGGATGGCTGTATCGATACTTTTGAAAATGAGTATTGTATCCGGATACAACATTTCAGTATCGATACTTTTTTGAGTATCGATACTTTTGACAACCCTACTCTCTACCATCTCCAAGGAACTCAGAGCGGAGTGGAGGGGAGCCACAGTGGGGGCTGTAGGCTTTGCTTTGTCCAGGCGGTCTGGAGCTGAGCGGGGCGGAGCGCTGACGTAGTATGAGGGATTTCGGGGTTAGCCTGACATGTTGGTCGTGTTGCCGTTAGCATAAACAAAACGTGTTGCACAATGCTTGCACACTGTTGTACTTTTATCCACAACTTTCTTTCCGCCGTCATCGTAGGTCACTCTAAATGCAAAGTGGTCCCATACAGCAAGCAGCTTTGCTTCCTCTTCTTCTTCTTGTTTACTACTGGTGGTTGGCTTTGGTCACAGTACCGCCACCTTCTGCTCTGGAGTGTAAACGCTTCGCCTATGAGAAAAAGGAGCAGCGCATGAACCGAACGCAACACACGCGAACCGAATCGAGACAGTTGAACCAAACGGTTCGGACGGTTTTCATAAACCGTTCTATCCCTAATACATACACACACATATATAATATACACACATATATAAACTTTACGGCCCTGATGTAGCTCCACAGATGTTCTTCTACCTTCATGGGAACGACAATTTTCTGTTGGTTGAGTCTAAAGTTTTAGAATTTCAGCTCAATAGCATCCAGGTCATGTGATCAATTGACTAAAAATCAGCGTTTGATCATAGTTCTCTATTGGCTTCAAAAGATACGGCTTTTATTTTTGCATTTCAGATCTCTTAATTGTTTGTAATATTTAATGCTAATATTAGGATTTTTGCTCAACAGTTTCCAGGTTTTGTGATGTAGGAGTTTGTTTTAACTGTAAACATTTACTGCTTACATAACATAAGCATAACTGTTTACATTTCCTTTTCACGGTTTACATTTCCTTTTAATATATTTATATATTTTTTAACTGTTTACATTTCCTTTTCCTTTTAATATATTTATATATATATATTTTTTTTTTTTTTTATTTCACGGTAGCTGATATGGAAGTCCCAAATGTCATTGTATCCGTTGCAGAATATAATGACAATAAAGGCTTTTTGACTTTGACTTTTGACTAAAGCCTGTAATACGGGGGCACTTGAAATGTTGGGATCATAGACATAATATGATTTTTTCCCTATGGGCATGATGTGATTTGCTCAGTATAATGTGTTAAACAGGCAAAGAATTAGTTTTTATCAACTTTAACTGGCTGAATATTGGACTAATTTTCTATATTCTATGTATTACTATATACTGAAACCTATTTATACAGGAGTTCACAACTATATATATATATATATATATATATATATATATATATATATATATATATATATATATACATACATACATACATATGTTTTGGCTGCTTTGTTTTTCATTTACAGAGTTATGTTTTTCTTACGGTATTTATTTTTTCTTTACAGCCCTTTGGTCAGCTGTGGTTGATTTTAATTGCATAACAAATATCTTGATTGATCTTGATTTAAACTAAACTCCGCTGCAGTGCTGAGGCATCCTTCTACTGGTCTGCTTAAAGCAGCAGGTTAGGGCAGCAGGATGACCTCCCCAAGATGGCGCCCGTAATGTCTGTGCAGAGACAGTCAATGCGGGGTCTACTCTAATATTATCTCTATGGTAGAGACGGCTTTCTGTGATTGCAGTGAACTCGGAGCGAAGAAGAGGTTTAACCGGAGAAAATTACTAACTTGACCGCAGTCATTAAAACCCAATGCTGGAAGTGAGCGAGCTGACCGCAGTAAGATGGCCGCTGACCGTAGGTTAGCTTTAGCTTAGCATGTTGATCTCCTCTAAGCAGTTTTCCAATCAGATGAGGCTAAAATCCACAGTGTGCATCATCAGGGAATCGTTTCTATCAGGTGTTTCCTACCTATCCGGTGTAAGATGATCTGGGGGATCCTGGTGAAATCCAGCAGTAGATGTTGATCGTCCATCTTTTCCTCCAAATTGACCAAACTCCCTTTAAACTCCGTGAATGTTTCTTCAGCAGGAGTTAACTGCTCGGTGATAAACTCTCCTTGAAGCTGGACTGAAGACATTCTCACTGCAAACACTCCCAGATTATCAGCCTCTCTACAATGACTCCACACACAAGCTAAGCTAATGCTGCTAATGCTACCCGATCCCTGCCAGCAGCTCTTCTTCTTCTTCTTCTTCTTCTTATGAGATTTTATGGCGGTTGGCAAACTTGTGAAATGTGCATTACCGCCACCAACTGATATGGAGTAAAGCAAGGAAACAGGAAACGATTCACCCCCCCCAAAAAAAAAAAAAAAAAAAAAATACAATAAAATAACCTGTGTAACTTAAACCCACATAATACTAAATTATACTAAATTACATTTGCCCGTATAATTTTAATTTACTCTAGGTCATCGTACCTCTGCCAGTTTCTGATGGTCCCATTGGTCTTACCATCATGCTTCCAACCATCTCCCAGTTCATATCTTTAACATCCAGATATTTTTCTGCAGCCTTCACTATTATTTTGATTTTTTCTGTTTTTTTTTGTCGTCTGAGCAGTACAATTAATCACTTCCACCATGAAAAGAACAAAATTTGTCTTTTTAACAATTAGTGAGTCTTCATCAATTTTTGGAGATTTCTCTAGAGGTTTGAAATTTGCCGTGTGTTGAACTGTAGGTTTGGGTTTTTCTGACTGAGATGGGATCCTTTTTGCAGCTTCAGCATAAGTTATTCCAAGCTCAAATTTCATTTTTTTTATTTCTTCAGACCTTTTGCTTGCTTCACAGCCGCGATAAGCAGCAGTATGTTCTCCACCACAATTACAGCATTTTATTTTAGCTTCTTTTCCACATTTACCATATTCATGTTCTCCTGCACACCTTCCACACCTCTGTTTCCCTTTACAAACTGCTGCAATGTGTCCGAATTTTTGACATTTGAAACATCTCAATGGTGGTGGATTGTAGATTTTGACATTGTAACTGATGTAACCGATGAATACTTTGCTTGGTAATTGCTCTTCCTCGAATTTAATTAGTACAGATAAACTGTCAGATCTTTCTCCGTTTCTTGTTGTTTTTAACCGTTTTACTTCTTTTACTTTTGCACCGCTTATGTTTTCCAGAATCTCTTTTTCAGAAATTTTCAGAGGAACTCCTCCAATGACTCCCCTGCTGATCTTTTTGTTCTCCATTAGGCTGCACTGAACTCTTATCCCGTCAATTTTGTTAATACGTATTGCTTTGCCTTGCTGGGCGCTGTCTCTGCAGTTAATTAGCAGGTCTCCACTGTACAGAATTCTGGCACCTCTGACTTCTCCAACAAGTTTATTGATGGTTTTTGTTAAGTGAACCGGATTCCAGTTTGTAAAAGAGTCTGCCTGATTAACGACTTTGAATATGACTTTGAATTCATTTTGTTGTGCTGTGGAATGTATGGATTGATCATCACTGGATTGTTCTGAACTAGATTCCCCTTTAACTGATCTCTGTTTTTTCCGCTTTTTCTCATTTTTTGATGCTGCTATCTTCCAACCTTCATTGTCACTATTTCCCTCTTCCATCCCACAAGAATCGCTTCCTGTTTCCTCACTACTCACGGCCCAGGACATTTCTCCACAAGCAGAGCAGCTTCAAAACACGCGCCATCAGCTCTTCTTCTTCTTCTTCTTATGAGATTTTATGGCGGTTGGCAAACTTGTGAAATGTGCATTACCGCCACCAACTGATATGGAGTAAAGCAAGAAAACAGGAAACGATTCACCCCCCCCCCCCCAAAAAAAACCTGTGTAACTTAAACCCACATAATACTAAATCACATTTGCCCGTATAATTTTAATTTACTCTAGGTCATCGTAACTCTGCCAGTTTCTGATGGTCCCATCGGTCCTCCCATCATGCTTCCAACCATCTCCCAGTTCAAATCGTTTACGTCCAGATATTTTTCTGCAGCCTTCACTATTATTTTGATGTTTTTCTGTTTTTTTGTTGTTGTTTGTGCAGTACAATTAATCACTTCCACCATGAAAAGAACAAAATTTGTCTTTTTAACAATTAGTGAGTCTTCATCAATTTTTGGAGATTTCTCTAGAGGTCTGAAATTTGCCGTGTGTTGAACTGTAGGTTTGGGTTTTTCTGACTGAGATGGGATCCTTTTTGCAGCTTCAGCATAGGTTATTCCGAGCTCAAATTTAATTTTTTTTATTTCCTCAGACCTTTTGCTTGCTTCACAACCGCGATAAGCAGCAGTATGTTCTCCACCACAATTACAGCATTTTATTTGAGCTTCTTTTCCACATTTACCATATTCGTGTTCTCCTGCACACCTTCCACACCTCTGTTTCCCTTTACAAACTGCTGCAATGTGACCGAATTTTTGGCATTTGAAACATCTCAATGGTGGAGGATTGTAGATTTTGACATTATAGCTGATGTAACCGATGAATACTTTGCTTGGTAATTGCTCTTCTTCGAATTTAATTAACACCGATAAACTGTCAGATCTTTCTCCGTTTCTTGTTGTTTTTAACTGTTTTACTTCTTTTACTTTTGCACCGCTTATGTTTTCCAGAATCTCTTTTTCAGAAATTTTTAGAGGAACTCCTCCAATGACCCCCCTTGCTGATCTTTTTGTTCTCCATTAGGCTGCACTGAACTCTTATCCCGTCAATTTTGCTGATTCGTATGGCTTTGCCTTGCTGGGCGCTGTCTCTGCAGTTAATTAGCAGGTCTCCACTGTACAGAATTCTGGCACCTCTGACTTCTCCAACAAGTTTATTGATGGTTTTTGTTAAGTGAACCGGATTCCAATTTGTAAAAGAGTCTGCCTGATTAACGACTTTGAATATAACTTTGAATTCATTTAGTTGTGCTGTGGAATCGCTTGGACAACATTGCTGTCTATATGCTCTGTGGTGTTAACGTCAGCCAAGTGACTCTCCACAAACCGGCTCGCGCTCCTGCTCTTTTCTGGACTGGGCATCATTCACAAGTTCACCATGGGGACGTCTAGACAACCCATCAGCGTCTAGGTTTTGTTTGCCCGCTCTGTACTGTAACTTAAAGTTGTAGTTAGACAAAGCCGCAAGCCACCTGTAACTCGTGGCATCTAATTTAGCAGAAGTCAATATGTATGTGAGCGGGTTACTATCTGTAACTACCGTGAACTGCCCACCATACAAATAGTCATGAAACTTTTCACTCACTGACCATTTGAGTGCTAAAAACTCCAATTTGTGAGCTGGATAGCGTGCTTCAGCTCTTGATAGCCCACGACTGGCAAAAGCTATTGCCCTGAGCTGACCCTCCTGCTCCTGATATAGTGCTGCACCTAAGCCAGTGGTACTGGCATCAGTGTGGAGTACGTAAGGCAGTTTTGGGTCTGCAAAGCCTAAGACAGGGGCTGAAGTTAGCTTTTCGATGATGGAATCAAAGGCTTTTTGGCAGTCTGTGGTCCATCGGCTCTCAAAAGGCAGTTTGGGATTGAAGTAAGTTTGGTCGGTTTCTTTATATTTTGACTTTTTTCGGAGTGGCGGGTAACCATGTGTGAGATCATTGAGTGGACGTACAATAGAAGAGTATCCCTTTATGAAGCGTCTGTAGTACCCTGAGAACCCTAAAAAGGATCTCAGTTCTTTGAGGTTTTTTGGTCGTGGCCAGGTCCTTAGGGCCTGAATCTTTTCGGGATCTGTCTCAACACCATTCTCAGAGATCACATGACCAAGGTACCGGACTGTTGTTTGGAAAAACTTACATTTTTCTGGCGATAACTTCAGGCCATACTCTTTAAGACGGTGGAGCACCCGCATGAGTCGTTGTTCGTGTTCTTCCAAACTGTCAGAAAAGATTATGAGGTCGTCTAGGAAGACTAATACCTCATGCAAGTTCATATCGCCAACACAACGCTCCATCAGCCGCTGGAAAGTGCTTGGGGCGTTGGTTATGCCCTGCGGCATGCGGTTGAACTCCCAAAATCCTAGTGGAGTCACAAAGGCGGTCTTCTCTTTGTCTTCTTCCTCCACCTCAATCTGGTAATACCCAGACTTAAGATCGAGGACTGTAAACCACTTGGATCCTGATAGAGCTGAGAACATCACTTCTAGATTTGGGAGAGCGTAAGAGTCTTTTCTTGTTTGCAAATTAAGTTTGCTAAAGTCTATGCATAGACGCACACTATTGTTTCGTTTTCTCACCACAACGATAGGTGATGAGTAGGGTGACTGGGACTCTCTTATCACACCAGCAGCAAGCAGCTCTTGAAGGTGTTTACGCACTGCCTCAATATCTTGAGGGTGTATAGGGCGTGCACGGTGCTTGAAAGGAGTCGGATCATCAAGTTTGATAGAATGCTTCACCTTGCTCGTACACCCAAAGTCGAGATCATGAAAAGCGAACACTTCTGGAAGGTCATTGAGTCTCTGTGTTATTCTCTCCTTCCACTCCTGTGGAATAGGTGAATCACCAAAGTTGAAACTCAGTGTCGCCTTGTTTGTGGTAGGCTCGTTTGCACTGGTTACATTGTGCTGGGACAGGATACAATGAAAGGCTCCAAGTTCTGCGATGACACATGTGGATGGAATTGTGATATCTTGTTCTGTTTCATTTGAAATCATTACAGGCACTTTGTGTGGAGATCCAAAAGGGAGTGTTACCAAGCATGTTTTAACACAAAGCCCACCTGGTAAGGAAGACTGAGCAGGATGTTCAACCAAGGCAAAGGTGTCTGTGAATGTGCAGTTAACATTAGCAGAACCCTCTAAAACTACAGTCTGGCCTGCTGGAATAATAGCTGTGGCCTTGTCTGCCAAGGTAACTAATCCAATGTTCCCATCTCGGTTCTGTGTATGTCTTAATTCAAGAGTTTTCAAAAGCGCTCTAAACCCGTAAGGACTAGGTAAGAACTCAGAGGTCTTGATGCCTAAGTACTTTTCATACAGAACATCAAGTGTATTTGTTCCT